CAATGCAACGATTCGAGGTGTAACGCGAACGTAGTCGCGAGAAAAAGCTAGTAATTTATTAAATTATTTTATTTAACTCATTACTTTTCATTGAAAAGGAATTTTTGTAATTCGCCACTATATTAGTTAAAAACTAAGAAACTCATATCAAATTTAAGTTTTGCGATTTTGACTTATACTTTTTACAAATGAACACATTTTAAAAGAAAAAAAGTTTTTGATAATATTTGTGTAGATTGACTACAAGTTGTATAACATAAATTTCTACGACCGGTCTACCTAGTGGTCTGCAGCATCGCCTTGTGGTGCAAACGTAGGCCTGTTAATCTGTTACGTGACGCACAACAGCCAAGAAAAACAGAAGCGTGGCTAAAGCTTGTCGCCCACTTGTCCGGCACAGCACGGACCGTAGCTGCCCGTCGCCTGCAGGCGACGGAGAGCTTGGTCGCCCACTTTTCCGGTGGAAACCGGCAAACCGTCACGTCGCGGTCGTGTGTTGCGAAGATCTTTTTATTTTAGTTTACATGTAGCAGTGACTGGGTCACTATGTGTGAAAGCAGCAGTTCTGATGAAGAAGTTATTGTAGCGGCCGCATTTTTGGCAGAAGAAGAAGAAAATAAAAAGAAGATAAAGAGAAAGATGTGGGTCCATCCCATTAATCAAAAGGCTTTTCCTTTGCAAAAACATGTAATGCGTCCATATCCTATATTTTTGTACTAAACAAATTAATTTTTCATCGTCCATTTTTAATTTTTTTTCTTAGGACTGCTTTCTCGGACTCAACAACAACAACTGCCGAAATAATTGCAAAACATATGTATATGCGATCGACAGGCTTCCACAAGTTGGTGCATTGGCGCCGGCCGGCGACGGCCGGCTTCACGCACACTTGGCCGCCGTCCCGGCCCGTCCTGGCACGGGCCGTCATTTGACGGGGAGAGTCGGAGAGCTGGAATCTGTTCCGTCGACGGACTCGCCGTTCCGTGCCGTGACGGGCTAATGTGCGATAGTCTATTCATTTGCATGGTTTTAATCCTATCCGTATTTTGACGGGCCGGAACGGGACGGGACGTGACGGCCAAGTGGGCGACAAGCTTAAGAATTTAGTAATTTAAAAAAAAGTCTTTTAGATACAGTAGTAAGTATTTGTGTTTAAATGGTGTTTGCCTTTAACAGTTAAAAAATTATATCGAAAAGTGTAACTTTTCCATAAGAATTCTTTTTTTTTGCTTGCTTGTTTTACGGATAGGTGCGATCGCATAATTATTATTGATAATGTTTTATTTAATTTTAACATTACTACTTTTTCAGTGAATCTTTAAATCTGTTGTTTTTTGTTAAGTTCGTTATTTAAACATATGTATGTAATACATTCATATTAACACTAATCATATTTTTACGTTTTTATTCATCATTTTCAATGCCCCCCCGGTTGCATCTTTGTAAAGGACTGTGATTTTTTTTTTCTAAAATCTTCTCGGACTGTTTTATAATAATCTATATGGTTATTTCTGGCAAGGATGTATTTTCAATGAAAAAATATTTTCTACTCACTTTTTTAAACTTAACAAAAATATATGTTAGTTAAAAACAGAAGATTTTAGAAAAAAAAAATAATGATTTTTTTTTCATATTGTTCCACAACTTCAAAAAATTCTTAAGTGTAAAGGAGTTTAAAAGACATTTTCTGACGATTTTTAGTGAGTGACATATTTGACAAAGGTTAAAAAAATTATACATTTGACTTGGAGGCGGGAGTGCGCCAGGGATGCATTTTATCTCCCTTACTCTTCAATATATGTGGCGAATCTATAATGATGGAAGTTATGGAAGACTACAACGGCGGTATCACTATAGGCGGTAAACAAATAACAAATTTAACGTACGCAGATGATACACTTATACTCGCATCCTCCGCTAATGAATTAAAATCCATTATGCACAAATTAGAGGTGGTCGGCGAGAGATATGGATTAAAACTAAATAAAAAAAAACAAAATTAATGATTATCGATCGAGAACCCACGAATATAACAGAAATAGCAAGTTGTAGATCAATAATATATATATATATATATATATATATATATATATATATATATATATATATATATATATATATATATATATATATATATATATATATATATATATATATATATATATATATATATATATATATACAGGGTGTCGTCCCAGAAATGAGTGCAGATATTTTAAGGGGTGGTAGATCTGGCCAAAAGAAACATATTTTCTCTTTACCATTTTTAAAATAGATTGAAAATAACCGAGTTATTTAACTTTGAAAGTTTAAAAAAAAAATTGCGACATTTTGAGAGTCGCCGGGGAATCTGCGCGGATCCCCGGCGCGGGGGGAGAGATCTCGCGGATCTCAGCTTGTTCGCCGCCCGCTGTTGCCACATCGACTAGAAAGACTTAAAAAGTACTTGCAAAATCCCACACCATCCAAGAGGTTCTGCAGAGGTGCGTTACTTTTTTAAGTGGGTGATCGCCAGTAGCCCTACTTTCCACATTACACAAAAATAAACTAAAAGAAAAAACTTACTAAACAATAAAAAAGATATCCCTATAGCAGAGAGATACAACTGCAGAGCTTTCTTTTTTTTCCATTTTACCACTCTTAAAACTGCACATAACACTACACTTAATAACATCACTTCACTACAATTCTTAACAACACTATGCAAATTTTCAACTGTGGAAATATTGGCTCCCCTATTAATTTTAGAGCTAAATCGTAAATGGTTTTTAAAGATACATTACAAATTTGCACAAGGGGATCCAATATCTCGACAGTTCCAAATTTGCATGGGATATCCTATATTTCCAACGATGATGCACCACCCGGTATACCCTTCGCTTCTTGACTGCATGCTATTACAGTAATTGTTCAACATGACGACCTCCATTTCCAATACATGCTCTCCTTCTTCTGAGCATGGAATTTTTAACGTTTTGTAGCAATTCTTCGTTGCTTTTCCCGAATCCTTCAAATGCTGAACCATACTTACAAAGGTTCGAGCATTAGGATTTATCTATTCGATACTCTTCGGAATAAGTCTCCGAGCTTCTACAGCACTTTCCCCTGCCAGAAAGTACCTATGCTCTTAGCATATCCACCTTCTTCGGATTTGTATACTCCATCGCGATTTGCCTATACCGATACCGATTACCGACACAAAAATATGCACTAACGAACATTTCACAACACTTTAAAAACAATCTCCGATCACTTTCTCGAATTTTAAAAGCTCGATAATATTAGAAATTAGATCGATTTCTAATAGTGTACATGCTTTGTGTACATGCGATTAATAATGACGTTAATATAATACAGGAATCTGTAATTTTCTCCCCACCGCCCATTTCATTGGAAAAAACGGCGGCAAGTTTTCTGCTTTTGAAATTACGATCGATGGCATTTTATTGTGTAAAAGTGGATGGTAAATGGCATCGATCGTAATTTCTCAGGCAATTTTAACGTCTTAGCAGGTATACTTATTTTTTATCAAAAGCTTTATAGAAAAAAAAATAACTGAACATATTAGTAGCTTTATTACTAATTAAACTATTCAAAACATGTTCTGATATTACCTACTAAAAAAATTTAAGTAAAAAATATAGCAAATTTTATAGTTTGACGACGTTATAATTAACAATAGGCAAATGGAAAAAATTACCTAACTACATATTAGAGACATAATTCCATACCTAGAAATACCGTATGGTCGAAAAAAACGGCGTCCAGAATGGCTTGAAAATAACGATCGGTGACATTCTTCATAAAATTTTACACATAAATTGACAGCGATCTTTATATCATAGCCATCGCTGACGCCGTTTTTTTTCACGACCATATTGTATTTCCCATTAATCGCATGGTGGCAATACTAATTTATATTTAAAGAGATATATCTAAATGTGTATAAACTAGGTATTTTATTAGCAATCATATTTAAGCTATTATGACTCATATCATATTCTAATTATTTGAAACTTGAAACATAATATTTACTCCTATTATATTCATGTAACTAAATTTTCTAATATTAATAACTCTCTGATAATAAAAAACAAGAGTGTGTTTTGAAAAAGTAAAGCATAATTACTGTGTATTGACTTTATTGTGAAAAGCAACCTATTTGAAACACATTTACGTAACTACAGAATAGTTTAAAAAAGAACTTACACACATGTTTTTTAGTCTATTTTCTTTATTATATTTGAAAACTACAGTCCCCCTTCCAATACATAAAAACATTTATATTCAAATATACTCTAGATAGAGCTCCAATTTTTATATGAAATGAGAATTTGTTCACACATAGTCTACCGTATGATCGAGAAAAACGGCGTCAACGATGGCTATGAAATGAAGGTCGCTGTCATTTTATATGTAAATTTATATAGGAAATGTCATTGATCGTCATTTCCCAGCCAACTGACGCCGTTTTTTTTTCGATCATATGGTACATTTTATGTATTTTATTCTTTAATTTTAATTACTACAAATGGTCTTGATATTTTTCTTTTGAATACATATATTCTTGTTACTCTCTTTCATCTTTGTCTCTAATATACAGATGCATTGCAATTTGTTGTTAGTATATTTATGTAATCATTTCATAAATCCTAAAAATAAAAATGGTTATAACATGCTTTCCAGATATCCATATCCACAATATTCTGTGTGTAAATATGTTCAATTTTTAATTTTAATTCACTAAATGAGATTGTGAGACAACATACAGGTAGTTGTTTAAATAATTTTCAATCTTTGTATGTAATAATAGATTTCACATATTATATGCATTACACAATATGTATTACCTGCAATAATAAAAGATATTTTCTTTAAAGTGTATAATTCTATCTAACACACTTCTAATAAAGTATACTCTGACTCTTTGAACATTTGTTACAGCTTCTAATAATTAGGTATATCGATAACTTCCTAAGAAATTTTGTTAGCACTTTTAATTAGTTTACCATTTTTCTCAATATATTCTGCATAATATATGACTCGATACATTCACCTAGAATAAAATCAATAATATCATTTATGAATAGAAAACTACATGTATAACTTCGTTAATATTTGCAATTTCAGACCAGAACTTGTCTGAAGAGAACTTTCTTGGTTTGTTTAAAAATATCTTACCGTATAACATAAATTTACATCTGAATTAATCTAATCAGATCAAATTTTCTTCATAGTATAGAAAACATCAAAACTATTTGACTGGTAATCGAGCTATCAATAAGCTGACCTTAAAATTTAATGCATAATTAAATGGGATAATTATTTTCATGTAAAACAAAACTTTATACTTAATAAGACCACAGGGAGTACATAATAACAGTGTTACTGAGATTTTTGATTTAATGTATTGCTTGGTATTTGTAGATCTATTATTGTTTTGTGATTACAATTGCCGGTATACCCAATTGCCTTCTTCTCCATTGATGCATCCTAATTTAAGATTACTGATTTTCTAATACATAATTAAAGTGAAATTATTTTTCCTACCATTACATAATTAATTTCTTCCTACCATTAGGTAGATACCTGAAAGGTTAATAAATTAAAAACGAATTTATTAAGACATTTAAACTGTTTACCTCATTTCTCACATATTTTTGACACAAAACGTTATAAATAAATCAAAAAATATTCGTATACCAACTGAATTATATGATATTTCATTTTGAATAATAAAGGTACTTTTTACAGGTTTATTTGGCATTGTTTTCATTGTTTTTTGTTGTTTTCTGTTTTGTTTTTAATAACCCACGAATAACCTTAAACATAACCTTAAACTACACACCATACTAGGGATGTACGATTCGAATCGATTATTATCAAATCGACGTGATTTTTATCAAACGATTTTTTGGTATAATCGATCTTTTTTTTTAAATCGAAGACCGATTTTATTTATACAGTTTTACAGGTTTATTTATTTGTTAGAATTTAGATTATTAGTTTTGCTGGAATATTTGTTTGCAGTGCATCCCTAGTAAAAGGCCATCTAGCAATGAACTGAAAAATTAAGTGTAAGTGCTCGCTGCCGCATGCGCCGATGTTTGTTTATCACTTTGATATCAGGTGTCAGATTGTTGTCGGGGCTTCCCATATTTTTATATTTGAGATAACGTAGAATATTCTTTGATTTTACCTTAATTCTTTCTTGTACTTTTATTTTATTTTTGGGATATCCCTACTCCATACATTAAACATTTAGAAAATTGATTTATCTATCTTTATACAACCACCAAAACGTTGACCCATAATAGTAATACATCAGTCCAGTAGAGGACGCTAAGGTAAAAAATTTCTAAATAAAAATTTGTAATTTGTAATTCCTTCAGTGTTTTCGAAATCGTTGTCGGGGTTGCGTCGGTTTTGAAGAAATGTCGAAGAAAACCCCGGACTGTCTACCATCAGCCTCCGGATATGAGTAGTTATTAAAGCAAGTTTTTTTAACATTTTTTATTGTATTTATGAGTTTAGTGTTTGATTATTAACATGTGAAAAATTTTAAATAATATTTTAAAAGTGATAGGCATGTGATAGGTTTGTGATGTTCAGTTTAATAGATATTTGGTGTGTATGTGTTAACGTATATGTGTGCTGGATAAAAAACACTTTCATTAAAAGGGTAAGCTCTAACTAAACATTAAAGGTTATAATTGTTTATTGAAACGATTGAAAATATTTCCTAATATGGCGAAAAAAGAAGCTATAATTGTTAAGATTTATTTTTCCAGTTTACTCCACTGTAAAAAGTATTTAAAATATTGCGCGTTTCTCTAGAATTAGTAGAGCAATCTACACTAATATGAATAAAATGAATTTTCGTATTTTTTTCTGTAGCAACTTAAAATAATTGAATTTATAGATAAACATGCAGAATGTGGGTATGGTAGGAGGTGGCAACGTTGCATTCTCTCCGACACTCTCTATGCCCGGTAAACGAATTTCCCGGGAGTGAACAGTGGCACTCAAAAGTTTTTCGACATTTTCCGGAAAATGTCAAGAAAAATATAAAATTTTCAACATTTTTTTTTTCGCAAAAAAACCTCATAGGCGTGTTTCTGGGGTTGAACTATACTACCAGTTAAAATATCTGCACTCATTTCTGGGACACCCTGTATATATATCCTTGATATCACAACCAAACCAAACAAAGGAGGATGTGATGCAGAAATCAAGAGAAGACCGTGTATAGCACGTAATTCCATGACCAAACTCAATAAAATATGGAAAGATTCAGCCATTTCAATTAGCAACAAACTCAGACTACTAAGAGCTCTAATTTTCCCCATTGCCACTTATGCCTCACACACCTGGACATTGAAGTTGGCAATGAAACGTAAAATCGATGCTTTTGAAATGTGGTGTTATAGACCGATGCTGCGAATACCGTACACAGCTCACCGTACAAATATTTCAATACTAGAAAATCTGAATATCGAATCTAGACTGTCGATATCAATAAATCAGTCATACTTAAGATACTTTGGGCACATATCCAGGAACACCAATGGCCTAGAAAAACTAATTGTGGAGGGAAAAGTGAACGGGAAACGTCCTAGAGGGAGATCTCCAAATTGTTGGGTGGACCAAATGAAGACAATAATAGGTCATAGTCTGCACGAGGCCAGTACTGATGAGCAAGACAGAACAACAAGGAGATACACCATAAATGCGATATCATAATGTCACCATACTCTAATAGAGTAATAGGAAGGCGGAGGAAAAAAATGAAGATTTTAATTTTCTTTTCTCGACTAAAAATCGGCTTTTCGTTTAAGAATCATGATCATAACTATGGTGGATGTATACCATGATAGTAAGACCCATGATTACTTATGGAGCAGTTGCCTGGTACACAAAACTAGAGCAACGGACGGCAAGGCTAAACCTATGCAAAGTCCAGAGACTAGCATGTGTTTGCATCACAGGAGCCATGAGAACCTGTCCAACAGCAGCAATGGAGGTCATTCTAGATCTAACACCACTGCACATTGTCATTGGTAGATATGCCAATGCGACAATGATTAGAATGGTCACTAACGGAATTAGTACTGGGAGAATTGTCAGGTCAGGGGCTTGGAACACCCTCAAAAAGAAAATACCACTCCTGTAACTCCCAGTGGACGATATGCCAAGAACGTACAACTTTGACAAACATGTCAATGTAGTATTGAGCAATAAGAAGGATTGGAAGAGCGAAACGCTTGCCCAGCAGTTAAATGACCATACCATAACTTGGTATACTGATGCTTCCAAAACCAATACGGGAACAGGGATCGGAGTGTTTGGGCCGAGAGCTAATTATTCCGAACCAATGGGCACTTACCCTAGTATCCTACAGGCAGAAATCTACGCTATCGAGAGATGCGTACAACTTTTCTTAGATAGGAACTATCGGAAACAAGAAATAGCCATCTTATCTGATAGTCAAGCAGCGTTAAAGGCGATCAACTCAGTATCAATCAATTCGAAATTGGTCAAAGAATGCATAGAGAAGCTGAATATATTAGGCAAAGAAAACAAAGTCCTCCTACACTGGGTGCCTGCTCACCAAGGGATAGAAGGCAATGAAAAAGCAAATAATCTAGCTAGGAAAGGAGCGAACACTCCACTAACTGGACCAGAACCGTTCTGCTTTCCAAGTGGTAACCAACTCAAGGCGGAACTCAAGAACTTGGAAGATTCCATCCGCAACCTGGAATGGAAATCTTGCAATGGTCTAAGACACTCGAAGAAGTTTCTGAGGGCTTATGATCAAGAAAAATCACAAATCTTCCTGGGTCTGAGTAAGAACAATCTTCGGATTGTCACGGGGTTTTTAACAGGACACTGTCTCCTCAATGAACACCCCAGTAGATTGAAACTAAGAAGAAACGGCGAATGCAGATTCTGTGGGGAAGATGGTGAAACACCAGTACACCTCATCACTGAGTGCGCCGAGACGACAACCATTCGTGCCATGAATTTTGGTACGACTGATATTGGAGATGGAGAACTACCCTCTATAAAACCGTCCCAGATACTGGCTTTTGTCAAAGCCCTGGGACTGTATGATGAGTTATGATTCAAGAAAGGGGGACACAATGGATCTGTAAGGTCGAAGTGATTAACCCCCATCCCACTCATTCTAAATTCATTCTAAAAAAAAATCATAACTATTTTTTCATGTCTTAGACTTCTAAGAATTAGAAAAAATCATCATTAATTAATTTTGAATTTTGAGTTCTTTTTTGAAAGTATCCGTTTGAGTAAAAGAGCTAAAAATTTAGGTGAATTATTTTGATTCGACACCAAATGGATCCCTTGAGTGCGTGTCAAAAAATCTGCGGGGGCAGATTTCCTATATTAATCCGGCTATACCCTTCCCAAGTTTTTTATTCTAGTAGCTACAGTTGCCCGACGCACTATTGCTGGATCCTGTACATTGTGCCTTATTTAAAGAGAAGCAACTGATTTAATATTATACAAAGCGAAATGTATCTGTAACTGCTTAAAAGATTTATTATAGTTGTGTTATAAGTTCACCACAGCCAACTATGAAACTGGTGTTTTGTAAAAAATAGACTGAAGAACAGCTGAAAGATAAATTTACGTTAAGAAGTTATCGTCTCTCTTTAACAATTTTTTTAAACGAATTACATTCCAATGTTATAAATATTCTATATTGCAATAATAAGATGTTTTTCTGAGTAGACTTTGAATATGTTCCAAAATAATTATCCTTGTTTGATATAAGTACCTTTCAATGTTTTTGTTAATAGCCTTTTCTGCTTAATAAATCTACGACATAAATTCCGAAAAGGAAACATTCAAAAACGCCCGCCGCTCGTATTTACGTGGCAATTGAAAGTTTTGTCTGGCCTCGTACAACGAATAATTTAATAATTTGATCAAATTACCGAAAATAGCGGCCGCGTAATTCGTTTTCGAGTTGCAATAAATAAGCGACGACGACGGTGCATAATATAGGGCCACGCGAATTTGCCTGCGCCCCGCCAACGGCGGCAGTTTATTATTTTCTTTTGTGGCCGAAATTGAAAATAAATCGTGAGCCACTTCCGGTTCCGGCCCCGAATTCGTCCCGAAAATATTTCGAAGTTTTCCACGATTACACGGTATCATTTTCGGCCGGGACTACTACACCCTCTTTCTGTTCCCTCGTCTTATTTCCATCGCGTTTTTTGACGTTATTTAGCTCGCTTTATCACGAGAACAGCTGCTATATATCCTGGAATGCTTTGTTTTTATTTAGACATTAATCGTTCCTAAATAAATTTACTCTTTGCAACATGGAATCCAGTTTTCGAAAATTACGTAAAGTAGGCTAATAAACACGCTAAGTACGTGTTTATGGGTATTTTTGGTGATATATTATAACCATTTAAAACTAAAATAAACTATAAAGTTTTCTAGAAGACCTTTTATATGCTATAAAAAAACGGAAGCTTTTAAAACTGGAATGAAATCCAATAACAGACGTTTTTTGTCTATATTAAAATCAGATACTTCTCTTTTTACTTAATTTTAATGAAAATTTTACCCATTATATACAAATAGTATTGAATATAATACCACAGATTAGATATACTATATGTATACAGAT